CTCCCACGTAGTTGACCACGGTTCGTGTCCCGGACCCAGTGGCTTAAACTCACACCAGGCGCATGTGCGTGTGTGCCCAAGATGATCCCAAGAGGAGAATGGAGGAGAAGGGATTGCGGCATGGCCATCCCCCCTGGGGGGTGATTTCTCACTTTCTGTCTCTCTGTCTCTGTCTGGCAAGCGTACGCGCCCTATAGCAAAAAAAAACAAAAACAAAAACAAAAAAACAAAAAAAAACCACCTCTCCAAAAAAAGAAAAAAAAATTTAAAGCAAGCCACCAGATTCCAGACTCGAACCCTGGTTGGCCATGTGGGCGTGTCCAGCACCTTAACCACCACCACCTGCTGGTCCCAATAATTTTTAAAAAGAAAAAGGAATTCTTTATTTGGGGGCTGGCAGGTGGTGTGGTGATTAAGGCACTGGACTCCCACATGGCCAGACATGGTTTGAGTCCTGGACCTGGTGGCTTGCTTTCTGACTTTCCCTTTCTGTTTCACTCTGATCAAATTATAAAACAACAATAAAAACAGAGAATTACTTATTTCATTTTATTATTATTTTAATTTGCTATAGGGCATGTGTGCTCATCAGAAAGCAGTAGAGAGGGAGAGAGGGAAAGTGAGAAAGTGAGGAAGCAAGTCACCAGTTCTGGGACTCGAACAGTGGTTTGAGTTAAGCTCAGGATGTTAACCCCACTGGCCTCCTCCGGGCAGTCCTGGCATCTGAGCGGCCTGAGCCTGAGGAGGGAAGCACTGTCTCCTGGCCCCTGCAGACACGTTGCAGACCCGTCCTTGAACATCAGCTTTCTGCAGGGCCTTCAGGCCCCCCTCTACAGCTGCTGCACCAGCCTGGTGCCCTTCCCTCCAGGCTCTCCCTAGGGCTGTGTGTTGGGGGGGTTCCTACAGTACCACCTACAGACTCCTCCGATCCTCCAGCCTCCTTGGCTCCTCCCAGTGCCTGCCAACCTGTGTACATCGCGACCCCCCCCACACCTCCCCACCACCCCCCTC